AATAATAAATGTATATGTTTATACAGTACTGTTATAATTTACCTCTATTTTACACAATGTGGGGGGTTGCCAGTTGGGCTTACTTTGGGCTTGTTTTCATAGAGCTGGTTGCTTGTTTCTGTCACGAGATCTGGCAACCCTGCTTCCAAGTTACCCGAGCCATGTAAAAGTCTGATTGCTGCCCTGCATAAAAGAAAAGGAGTTGGTCCAATGTTGTGACACATCAGCTTGATGTTGCTATGGTTAGGACCTGCAGCTACTTTGCACAGATTTCCCCTGGGGGCTCTGACAGATCCCATACATCATGTGGGGATGGCCCCTCCCATCGAGCAGTGATGCATCTGTGCTGAGCGATAAAGAGCTGAGGGGCTGCAGGGTGTGAACTTTCCCTTGTAAGGGCCTGCAGAATATTTGTTCCCAAGACAGTGATTTGTGTAAAAATCTGATTAATTCTGTGTTAGTGTCTGATATTTGAAAATGCTTTAGGGTAAATTTAAAAATGTTGAGCTGACTGTTGCAAAGTCTGACTTGTCAAAATGAACACACAAACAGTACATATTTTATGTTAAACAGATCAGTCTAATTTGAATTGAACTGTTCTAAATCTGATAATAGTTTGCTGCTAGAGTGTGAAACCTTAGTGTATAAAAATAAAGTTAAGTTCAGGTTGAAGATGATCACACCAGCCAGCTGAATATTTAGTTAAAAAAGCAGCCAAATTATAATTAAATCATCCTCTAAAGCAACAGCTTCTATGAAATCAAAAATACTATCCTTAATTACAAAATATTTAATGGATAAAAAAAGTGTGTGCAATCCAGTCCAGCACCTTTTGCTTGCTAGTTTGTTTCCCACTTTCCTAACTTCTGTTTGTCAGCTGTTGACAGCTGCAGTATGAAAATACTTTCACCTTTCAACAGGTCACTAAGGTTTGGCTCAGGCACGTCAAACTAAAACTTAAAAAAATACTGCCTCAGATGCAATCATACTTCATTTGATATGAGACGTTTTCACAACAAGGAAAACGGTGACAAAATACACAAAAAAGCTATCATGATGAAGCTATTTTACAGACAATCACGACCCAATCAAGGCCTTTGTTGACATGCAGATAAACAATAACCCAACAGCTTCAGCTCAATGCAATTATTACGCTAACATAAAATTTGATTTATGAAAATGTTTAGTGCATTTATGAGCATACCTTGTATGACAGTGTGTCCTGGAACCTTGTGCTGTAAACAGAAAACATATATGAGTGAGAAAAAAAATTGATTTATTTCTACCATTTGAAAATTAATTGTACAACAAACAAGAAAAAGAAAACTGGGAAAATAACAGTTGTTTTTTAGCAGGTTAGTTATAACAAGCCAATGGGATTTATTTTGCATTTCCAAACAATAACTGCTTCATTCTTCATTAAACTTGATGGATTTTGCTGGTGTACATCAATCTTTAAATCATCTTACAAACTTTCACTAGGCAAGTTCAAGTCAAATGTTTACCAGTCCTGTATTTAACATCAACAATCATTCCTCAGATTTGGCCACTCCCTTAAAGTGCTATTGCTTAAATTCCTGCAGCATTATACCACCACCACCACCATGCTTTAATTTGACATTATGCAGTCCTACAAACTATGATCACCATCGCTTTTTGTTATGTTGGTTTTACTGAGCTGAAGATGTTCCATTTAATGACAACTGGGAACTTTTATTGTTTTATCAGTCAGAAATTAAACTAAGAAAATAGGTTCAAACAAATAAACACAAACATTTTAAAATATTAAAATCAGACAAGTAGAACTTTAACATATCCTGACTGATTTAACTTTATAATTGCTAACAAGTTTTATTACAACAGCAAAGCAAAATGTAGGAGAAAAACAATTTTATTACTTTAAATGGAGCATAATCAAAATTAACCTTGGCAATAAAATATGAGTCCAAAATTCCCGTATGCCTTCAAATCCACTACAAATTTGACCATCTCATCAAAATACACTCACCGGCCACTTTATTAGGTACACCTGTCCAACTGCTCGTTAACACTTAATTTCTAATCAGCCAATCACATGGCGGCAACTCAGTGCATTTAGGCATGTAGTTGCACAAAAATGCTGCTCCACAAAAATGCTGCT